TAAATCTTCGGTATATTAGGCGTATTAATTAGACATTGATATGGCCAGAAGATTACTTTTCGAAAAACCTAAAGTCAGTAAGCACTAGGTCGTATATTATACTCATAAAAACGAGCTCGTCTGCGCAGAACTTAAAAATAACCTGTATTTATATAATAGTGAACTTTTTTTGCGAATAGTTCAATTAGTAACCACTTGCTCAGTTACTTTTATTATCTCGAAATATAGGTATGTGCTATATGTTCGTCCGAGTAGTTCGTTGTTCTTTGGACTCTGCCTACTCCCCGCGGACAACCTACAAGCATGGCTCGTTAAATTGATTTTGCATCAAAACTTAAAGAAAAAGTGTTAGGACATTTTTTGTGTAAAATTGCAAACCAAAAAAGTTTTGTTCGATACATCTTTTTATATCTATTTTAGTTTAGGTAATAACCATTAAAAACCGATTATTTCAAGTGATTTTTATTTCAAAAAATCTTGCTTGATTTTAAGATAATAATATAGTACCTACATCACTCCTGGTATTGCTATCTGTTCGTGAAGTTTTGTCACAATCAGTTCATCCATTCGGAACATTAGCCAGGTCGGGCAGTATAGATTATTGCACCAGTGCAGTATTTGGCACATGGCTTTTATATAAAGTGTTTAACTACGCCGATCAAAACACACAAAATAATTTACATGAAAACGGATATGGCTCACACTTCTTAAATTAGCGCGTTCTAGATAACTTCGAATGGCGATCATTAGATCATTACACGTAACTGTGGTAAGTACCTATTTATTTAATTTCGTTTTGCTGCCAAATTACGAAGGTGACGAGTTTGCCTCTAATGAGTTAATATAAGAGTTATGTTAGTTAGAATTCCAATTGAACTCTATTATAAGGCTAATAGAAAAATATGACCAATAAATTTTATGTTATAATTTATAACATACAATTTATTGGTCATATTTTTCTATCTTATTCATTCAATTTACGAGTATATATTAATATAGCTATAATGTATGTATATAGTTTTCTTTTTCTAACTTATTCAATTTATATAATGTTAATATAGCGTGTAATGTATGTATATAGTTTTCTTTACACGAGCGATGTAGAATGGCTGCAGCAGGAATTGCTCGGCTCGACCGGGGAAGTAACTGGACTGAGTGCTCGTCTGTCACTATTATGTATTTCTTGTATAAAACAATATAATAAGTGGACTGTCGTGGTTTAGTGCTGCGTGTGTTGCGACTGCTGTTCGTGAGGTCCCGGGTTCGCACACGGGTCGGGCCAAATTCAGGTATACAGTTTTTCTGTTGCAAAACTCAGTACAGCCTGGAGTCTAAGCTAGCAAGCTAGCGGTGTATTACCTCTGTGCTTCGGAGAGTATATAAAACTGTTGGTCTTGCGACTGATCTTTCTCCGGTCGTGTCGGAGTTCCGTTCCATCGAACTATGAAAGTGAGGGAATAGAGAGTTAACCTGTGTTTGCGCACACACTCGTGCACTATAATCCTGTCCTGCGCGTATGACTGCACGTCTCCAATGAGAGTAGCTGCCATGGCCGAAGTTTGGTCAAGGAGTCATTATTATTATTATATTATTTGGGTTACACACAACATTACAATATTCCAGGACGCTAAGGACATAAGAATAACATAAAACATTCATACATTCTATATCTGAAAAAGATTGACAAACTCGTAGTATTAGATTTTATATATAGAAACTGGTAGTGCGAAGCCAAGATTCTTGTAAGCCTTTGCAACAACTGCCGAGACACACAGGCGTAACTATGGTGGGGTAAAGTACGGCATATGCCCCGGGCGCCTTTCAAAGGAGGCGCAAAATCACCAAGTATTACATTTAATAATCAAAATAAACCACAATAAACCAATTCATATCAAATAATCCTTTCCGCGATTCCCGCGAAATCCACGCTTCACGAATTACCGAGGGATGAGTGCGGGCAGGCATTACACTTGCGCATTCGAATTCGACACGAATTTGTAACACGAGCTGAAAGTTTTAGAGCCTTTTGATTAAAGCACGAGGGGGACGGAGCGTTGACTTCATTAGACGTAACCTCTCCAACTTTATGTTCAGATTCAGTGTGCGTCTCACCATTCGGTGATAACTGTCAGTTTTCACCCTCGCCATAATTCAGACATCACTGAACAGTTGCCGTCTAGTCGTCATAATGAAGTCAATCTCATTTTTTGTCGAACCGTCGGGGCGACCAGGTCCACTTTCTGTGGGGCCGCCTCTGGAAGAATGAGAGTTTTTACGTGGTAGAGCTATATTATGGTTATAGCACGAATGGGTCGGCTCGACCGGGATTGGACCACGCTCTCACAGAATACCAGCGTAAAATAGCAGCTTAATGTTGCTGTGTTTTGTATGGTGAGTGTAGAGAGCCGGAGACCCTTTTTACTGGAAACAAGGCACTCCATATCAGTCCTCAGGGGTGACAACGCATATCTGCATTTTGATACTTAATCGTTGATAAATGTAGATGTCTATGGGCCACATCATCCACTTACCATCAGGTGGACTGTGTTCTCGTTTGTCACCCTTATTCTGTAAAAAAAAAGAGTTCATCATAAAGAGTCCCTCTTTCTTCCTGAAATCGAACAGCTGCTTGCCCCTCGGTTCCATTACCCTATCCCGAATTTCGCAAACTTCAGTTCACTGTTCTCTCTTGTGCCTAGTTTTGCGTTGAAGTCTCCCATTAACACCGTATATTGGATTTTGGAGGATTGCATGGCTCTATGTCCCAGCGCAACTTGTCTATCTCTTCTTCCACCTCCAGGATTTTCTCGTCAGTTCTCAGGGTGCCTTATATGTTGCCAGGTCGAGTCTTATGTGGCAATCGAACCTCCACCGGAATTTCTTATCTCCCACTGCCCCGCCGTTACCATGGTCGCCATTGTAACTAGGAAGAGCGGGGCCGCCGGAGACTGGGGATCATATTTTTTTGTTATTCTCGCCATGGGGCTATATTGCCATAGTTGCCACGCTTGGCGAGCGGGTTGGCAACCGTAGTTTTTGTATTGTTGTTTTGCTGTTATCAGAAAGATCCTGTGCCCATCTCCTGTCTTAGTTTCCCTCTATCCCCTCTTACGAGACCCACGGGAAGATATGGGGTAGTGGATATTCTTACACCGCCACTACACGGGATGACCTTTGGTTGTAAAATAGAAATAGAATATGCTTTGTAAGATTTATATCTGTTATTATCTCTTATATCTTATATTATTTAGTGTTTTTGACCCTTTTTACTGGAAAAGAGGCATTCGATCTTAGTCCTCACGGGTGACAACGTATCTGCATTTTGATTCGCAAACGAGGATAGATGTAGATGTCTATGGGCCACAGCAACCACTTACCGTCAGGTGGACTGTGAGCTCGTTTGTCACCGTATACTTAAAAAAAACTTTGCGACTACTTTTGTTAGCCCGCAAAGAGTCCGTTATGATCGTAAGCTTCTAAATAATTGATGTTTTGAAGTTTTATAGACTCAAAATCAGAAAATATTAATTATAGTGGAAGCGTATTTAGTATGGGATTTTTTTAGAGCTCGAACATAGGCCTGTTATGGTTATTTGGCAGTTCGCACGAAACCGGCACTAAAGTAAAAATCCCTTGGATTTAGATGAAGGTATGTTTCTGTACTTTTACAGAATTTCAAAAGATGTTTACCGAGCCCGTAGGTGAACTTCGGCCATCTCTTCAAAAACAACGGACTTACGAACTTTCTGTGGGGTCTGAAGTAAGTGCAATGTCTTTAAATTTAAAAAAAAAACGAACGCTCTATTTCGTTTGTATTAACTCTTAATACATCATGCTGTAATCGATGTTATCAATGAAGAATTATTAAGAAAATATATAAAAATCCCTATGAACCATGAAGAGCGACGAGCAGCTAAAGAAAAATATTGTAATGCCTTATCGGAGTCATAGAATGCACACATCATACGTCTGCAATACCACCTACGGGCGACTCTTTAGATCCTGTGACTGTTGACGAAGTCACAGAATTCATCAAGTCTCAAAAAGAAATCATCACCCCGATGGCATTAGCAACAGGGCGCTGAATTCGCCTTCAGCGCCGCTCGTATGTCTTCTAGTAGGCATTTTCAATGTTCTTCTTTCCAGCTGCTCCTTCACAGATGCCTGGAAAGAGGCAGAAGTAATAGGAATACCGAAACCGGGGAAACGAAAACTAACCTCCAGTTATAGACCAATCAGTCTCCTCAGCACACTGGGGAAGGTTTACGAGCGACTCATATTGAATCGCCTACGTAAATACGTTTTCGCAAATAACCTGCTTCCCGACGAGCAGTTCGGCTTCAGACCCGAACACTTTTGCACCAATCAGTTACATCGCCTTACAGAGTACATTCTGAAAGGCTTCAATCTCCCAAAAAGAAGTCGTAAGACCACTAGTGCACTCTTCTTCGATGTCGCAAAAGCGATTGACAAAGTTTAGCACTCTGGCTTACTTTGCAACCTGTATAAACTCAACGTACCTGATAGGCTCACTCACATCATCAGAGCCTTCCTTGTCAACCGCCACTTTCGCTATCGAATAGAGGGCACTCGATTTTCGAAACGCCTCCTCAAGGCTAGAGTCCCTCAAGGCTCAATCCTCTTAGTAAGTACTTAGCTGTAGGCCCAGACTGTGTACTCTTGTTCTCGTGTCGTTTGCCTTATTATAATATTGTCTTTTTTGATACATTTTTTGTTCTGCCAATTTCATTATTCTCCGTCATCGAGCCATTTAAAGGGTTGGGTTGGGGTAATCGCCGTGCATGACAAGAAGATTTGTGATCACATCACCAGAAGTTTCTCACCTTCGACTCTGTCATCTTTTAGAGGGTACAAGATTTCCTGGATTTCACTAGAAAGATATCACCAACAAATTCATACGAATTCATCTTCATTTAAATGTCTATATAAAAATATATCGCTAGTTCAAAATGAAAAATAATACTTATAGTAACAAACATTTATTTACGTAACATATTTATAACAAAGGTTTTAGCATTGTAAATTAATAAGCCCAGTGAGCATACGATGACGATTTCTTTAACGTAACTTATTGCTATATCTTGTGCAGTCTTTTCTTTAATCAGATCAGCCGGTGGTGGATTTGATTTGCTTATCTGAAAAAAAAATATGTAACGAATAGTGTCAAAATATAGTTCTTTTATTTACTTTACTGTCCTAAGTACCAACATACAATCTTAATGTTTGTTTCGTATAATTATTTATTCAGCATTTATTATATTTATTTATTTAAACTTTACACTAATCTTTATATATATATATATTGTACGTATGTTTATCACTGAACTCCTAAACGGCTGGACTGATTTTGATTAATCTTTTTTGTGTCTTTGAGTGAGTTCCTGGATGGTTTGGATGATTCACAATTGGACCCGTTAGGTGGTACTGTTATCGAGATTTAGAAATCACCCGTGCGAAGCCGGGGCGCATCACTAGTACAGTATAAAAACAGTTGCTAATGTTGAAAAATTAAATTTGTTTTAATGAAAAAAAAATCTAGTTAACGCTTAGTTACAATTTAATCTACTGTGAGGCTATAAGTTAGAAGTTTTTGCTGTCAGTTGCAACTTTTTTTAACAATATACAATTGGGTGTAAAAGAGAATATGATCAGTGTTGTGTGCATGATTTCGTAATATTAGATGGGTATCGACTGATGGTATTCCTTTTTAAATAAATCTGCCGGACCAGAAGTCACAAAATCATCATGGTGTATTCCTGAATTGCTTCTTAAAAAAAACGTTCAAATTAGAAGGCTTTATTTTAGTTTCCACACTAATCTCATCAAGGAAGACAAGTTTGCAGTTAGTGGATACAATCATATGTGTAAAAAATATGTTTTTAACTGACTGATAATTGATAAAAAAGGAATGATGATAGGATTATTGTAGTAAAAATTATTTTTAACGCTTACCTTAGTGAGTAACTTTTTCATATTTTTGGTTTCTCTCCTAATACTGTTAATGTTAGTTTGTAATTTCTTAGCAGCAGCTTTAAATTTGTTGAGAAGAGGTGAGTCGGGTGGTTCGTATTTAATTTGATTTTGAATTCTATTGTATTCACGTGAGGTATATTGTAGTGTGGCTTCTAATATGTACATCTGTTGTAGGTGGGTTCCCAAAGTTGTTAAGCAATCTACAATGCTACAACAAAGGAAAAGAAATTATTTCACTTTGATTAGAAACAATATCGGTGATTTCTTTTACTTACAATTAGAAGAATGACAACAACTCAATAACGGACTATGCACAAAACGACAATTTGTTATTTATGACCGCAATGCGGCAATACCCACGCCTATAATATATAAAGACGATCACGTGTATACTGACTACGTGATAGATCACATAGTAGCATACCTTGTAGCTGCCACTCTGGGATTTCAAACTTTCTTTAAGTATTTAAAAAGGTTACTTCGCCATTTGCCAGAAAATATGATACGTTTCTAACAACAAATCACAGGAAAGAATTGAGGTTGTTTAAGAACCAGCTTCTCTAGGATTATTTGTAATTCTTAACAATAACTTTTGGCAGTAACTGTGGCCCAAAATGCCAAGTAGCTATAGTGCATAACACCAACAGTAGACCACCCAACTGTCACAATAATCTTTTTCTGGGTAATCTTTAGTACCTGGTACTGTTTGGCTTGGGCACCTGGATCTAGCCACTACAATGAAGGCCTGACGAATCGGATCTCTTTTCCGATTTTTGCTTTTTTTTTGCCGTTTGTTTGCCGCAACTGATCTATTGTTTTAACACATAAAGAGCCGACGCTGCCCTGCCGTTTTTTGGGACGGAACCGCTTTCACTCTCGCCTTTAGTTTGTTATTATCAACCTTTTTCTCCGAGCGGCCATGATATTCATTTGTTAAAATGTCCTGACAGCAATTTAACCAGTAATGCACATTCGATAATTCGTTGGTATTGCAAGGTCCGTATACGTCATTAATATTGCGGTTCGTTCGTTAGCAGTGCTAGATCCGTATACGCCATTAAAAATAGGTCAGGAAAAAGATTCTTCGTATTATGTCTATATAAAATTTAAAAAAAATCTCTTTGGTTGTACTGTTTGTATCTGTCTAGTTTTAATATCAATACATATAGGACTTGAAAAAAAAATAAAAATAATAAGTAAAATACACTTTTACGTAATTTTTCAATTGTTTTTCTTTTCGCCAAAATGAGTGAATCTAGTGAACAAATTCGATACATTCTGAACTTTTATTACAAAAAAGAAAAAAATGAGATTCAAGCCGCGAAAAAAATTTGTGCAGTGTCAGTAAAAGTTGGTTCAAGCGTGTTCAGTGCGGGCATTTTGATGTCAAAGATGCAGCTCGTTCTGGTCGCCCATACGGATAAAGTTGATGCCATTTTTGAAAAAGTGGAGCAAGATTGGCATATTAGTAATTACGACATACGCCAAGGAATTGAGGATTAACTACAAAACATTTTGATCCGTTTAAAAGTTTGGCTATACTAAAAGCTCGAAGTTTGGATACCACACGAGCTCACTGAAAGAAATCTAATGAATCGTGTACTTATTTGAGATTAATTTTTAAAAAGATTGATCACTGGTGATGAAAAGTTGATCACCTGCGACAACAACGTACGAAACAGATCATGGTGGCAGGGTAGTCAAGCTCCACAGACTATAGCGAAACCCGAATTAACACGCAATAAGGTGATGCTGTGTGTTTGGTGGGATCGGAAGGGCATCGTTTATTATGAGCTTTTACCGCCGAGCAAAACCATCGATTCGGATCTCTACTGCCAACAACTAACGAGACAGAAAATGAGTGATCTTTCATCATGATAACGCCAGACTACACATCTCTTGCCACTAAGAAAAAATTGAGAGCTTGTTTGGGAAGTGTTAATGCGGATGGTGGATACCAAATAGTCCTGACCTTGCAACCTCAGATTTTCATCTGTTTTGGTCTCTTCAGAATTCTTTGGGTAGTGTTAGGTTTAACATCAAGAGAGGAATGTCATAACTACTTGTCGCATTTTTTTTCATCAAAATTCCCAAGAATTTTACAGCAACGGGTTTATGTCACTAACTACAAGATAGCAACAAGTTATCGAACAAAATGGCACATATATATATATTATAATTAAATGTAATTAAACTTGAAAAAAAAGTCGTGAATTTGTATATAAAATACGAAGAAACTTTTCCCCGACCTAATATTTCGTGCCGTTTGAGACACAATGTTTTCACGTTGTAACCCTTATTTAAAAATAACACGAATTTTACAACAAAACAAAACTCAAAGAAACAAATGATAAGCAATCAGACAAAACAAATTTTGAAAAAGGAACTACATACCCTAAATATATTTTTTAACAGTTCAGAGTGGCTAGTTCTACAAAATGGAAATTTCATACATAAGGCCTAAGATTACAAATTAAAGTAATTGCGCTACCTGTAGTTTTCATTTTTACGCGCGTACAAACCGGCAACGGCATTCAGTTTCCAGCCTCTCGTATGAAAATTACGCAACCCTTGCCTCAGTCTTTGTCTTTCATAGGGCATATCTATGCCTAGATTAATCATGTCTTGCTCTTCCATTAGTAAGAATGTTCGTAAGTCCATTCCACTATTGATAAAAAGTGGCGTTAGTCGTTCACAGTTCATTCCATATAGGAGATGTGGTATTTCACTTACATAGTCGGGTCTGAAATAAAGATAGAAGATGAAGAGGTTGTACGATTTTGTATGTTTTACAAGAGATAATCTTTTGAAGTTACAACCAAATTCGATATTATAAGGCCAACTACATAGCCCACTTTTGATTAAGTAGTCACTATTTTAAAGACACAAGGCCCTGCAGGCATATTCGCTAACTTTTCGAAACTTTAAGAAACGGGTGAAAGCGAACACACAGTGTACCTGATGGTAAGTGTGTACTGTGGCACATAGACATTACATGTATTTTCAGTTAAGAATCAAAATGTAGATGTGTTGTTCCCCGAGGACTAAGATGAAATGCCTCATTTCCAGTAAAAAGGGGATTATGTGCACTCATCATACGAAACTCAGCAGCATTAAGCTGCTATTTTATGAGAGCGTGAGCCTTCTTCGGTCAAACCGACCCATTCGTGCTCCAACCATAATATAGTTTTTTTAGGGTTCCGTACCTCAAAAGGAAAAAAACGGAACCCTTATAGGATCACTTTGTTGTCCGTTTATCAGTCTGTCTGTCAAGACCCTTTTTCTCAGGAACGCGTGGAGGTATCAAGCTGAAATTCATATCAAATACTCATGTCTACTGTCCCTTAGAGCTGTGAAAATCAAACTTCTAAGCCAACGCAATCAAAAGATACAGCCGTTTATGCCGTAAATTTTCGACATTCGCAAGGGAATCAAAACCTACAGGGTACTTCCCGTGAACTCAGGATCTTGAAATTTGGTACGAAGCAACGTTTTATAGCACAGATAAAAGGAAAATTGCGAAAAGCATATATTTTTAGTTACATCATATAATAAAAATATTTTTAATAATTTTAAATTTATATACATATATAGATTTGTTCGGAACCCTCGGTGCGCGAGTCCGACTCGCACTTTGCCGGTTTTTAATTAAACGTAACCTCCACACTAGGATTTTCTCCTGTATCGTGGGGGCAATTTACAAGCATAAACTGCACAAGGACAAACATCCAGACCCAGAACAATTATTTGTAAGCCATACCAATACCTACTTCTTCCGTGCGGGATTCGAACCCGCGGCCCTTAGCGCTGCAACTCATTTGCTAAGTCACTGCGCCACGAAGCCGTCAAGAGCAAGCTGTAGTATGGCCCTACCACGTATTATATCCTTTTAAGGATAATAACTTGTGTTAGGAGACTCCGCTCTTCCATAAGCACGTACATTACTATATGCATGATTTGATTTTGATGTCAACATGTAATACGGATGATCTAGAGTTTCGCAGACACGCAGTGTAGCATAAAAAGTGCGAGGATATTACAATCCCTGCGCGCACAGTTCACCTGCCCATTGTGGTATGAACAAACCTTTAACGTCAATTCGTTAGTAAGGCATCATAAGCGACAGCAGCCTAATAGTTAAAGGTGAAGGGTGTAAACTCGTGAGTGAGTGATTTCGAATCCGACATTGAACTACTGTCGTGAACTACAACTAGCACAAGCATTTTAAGCTTACTTAAAGTGGTTAGAGCTTAGAGTATACATAAGTAAGCTATAAAGCGCGCGTTAGCGAATTTGAACAGTAAGCACGGGTATGAACAGTACCGCAATTGCAAGAGCGACGCTGTTAAAGCACAGTTGCGGAGCGGGATTCTTTTTATTGCTTTGCATTTTTAAACTTAATTCCCATCATAAAAAGTTTTATTTCTATTGCAACTAAGATTGTTTTAGGACCTTTTGAACAGTATTTGTGATTCGAAAATCGAGTTTATTATCAAGTTATAAAAGTTCACATTTGTATGAATTGCAATCATTTGGAATACTTCCTGCTCTGCAATCACGCCATAATTTACGAAAGGACACGCGCGCTGTTTATTTCGCTAGCCGATATTCACTTGAATTTTAAGTTACCATGGTGAAATGAACAGTAACAAGTTCCAAAAACGGTTCAGTTAAGCAAATTTAGAATATATATGATATTTATTTTCATCGACAAGTAATATTTTGATAAGAAAATACGGATTTTAACAAAATTAATCTTGGTGTCAAAGGAGGTTGTGGGAGGCGCGCGGCCGGGTCGACACAGCACGTGCTCCCGCGATCCCATGCATGCTCTCTTCAAATTAGAGCCAGTGCTGTACCACGTTCATGAATATTTTGTAATAACATGATTTCTTGCGTAATAATAATTATAGTATTAACCAACTAGATCAATGTTTAAAATAAAACTTTTAAATAATTTTGTTATATAGGTACATAATCTGGGTCACTGACTGGGTCACCGACGACCTGAGTAAATAACATTGATGTGAAGTGGAATCACAGCTGGCCGACTGTCCGATGTAATTATTATGTTGCCTCGCGAGTTTGCACGCAGTACGTAACAGGTTAATAATAATAACGGATATTTTAACGTGTCAATATGTTTTTGGTGAGACCCTGGAAACTCTTTATCACAATAAATCACTTAAAAAGCACATGTCCATCCTGGGACTAAGCAACTCAAGGATGTGTCGGTTTAGCTCACTAGAGGAGGAAACGACTTTACACATCCTGACAAATTGCGGACCCTTAATGCGCAAACGCAGCATTCTTCTGGGAAACCATATACTTCGCCCAGAAGAAGTGAAGTTACTCACAGCTAAGCAACTCCTTCTATTCATTGAGGACGTAGAGCTTAGCAGTGAACTGTAAACATAGCAGTGATCACAATAGATCTTTTAGGTCGCTGTGATACTGGTCTCTCTAGACCTGCATAGCTGCTCGTCCATAAAAAAACCAGGTTAATAATAATAATAACGGATATTTTAACATGTGAATATGTTTTAGTGATTCCAAAAACTAAAATGGATTTAAATAACACTCGAAAACAAAATTTTAGATGTTCAAAGTTTCAAAGTTGTTACTTAAAATTTAGAGCCGTTTGTGAAAGTATAAATATGAAGTAATAAAAATTTAAATACGGCGATTTTTTGGACTGACTACAGTCTCGTGTATATTTCCAACTTACCTTTGTCCCTTATTTAAGCCTGGATAAAAATCATGCCACGATGTTACTTGGGAGTTAATATATTTATCCTTATCATTATCTTCTAATGTGTCGTCTTTTTTTAAATGTTTATTTATTATATTAACAATATCTTGGAAGTCATGTAAGTTAGCTAGTTCTAAGGGAGTGCGGCTAGATCTATCTACTTCATTCAGTCTAGCTCCGTGTTTGATGAGTATTTCAATTATTTCAGGTTGTTTATGGTGAACGGCCCAAAAAATCGCCTGGAAACAACTTTTTTTTAATGAGCATACATGATAATGCATTCACAAAGCATTAACCATAAACATATTTCAATTGAAAAGTGTTTTCAGCAAATGACAGAGGAATGAACAGTAATGGATTTAGAAGAAATAAGTTTTGCAGTAATATATATTGACGTAGTGTTATTTACATCGATGAAATATCATTATAGTCAAGTACCCTATTATTTTTAGTAGTACTAACTTTTATTTATTTAATATTCTTTCTTTATGTGCAACATACAGAAATTAGAGAAATTATAAATACAAAAGAAGTATGCAATGGGCGGTCTTATTGCTGACAGCAATTTCTTGCAGACAACCAATGAATGGACAGGATTGCACGAAGATGACAGGGGTAGGACATGCTAGACAGAAAAGATACTCACCGCTTATGAAAATATTAGTAACATCACCTCACCTATAACATGTTAAGTAGACTGCAAGCCAATGTACGCGTAAGCTAGGACTGTAAACGTAGTATACACAAAGAACTTTGAATGTAAAAATACTTTAAGTAATAAGTATGTAATTAATTTTATTGATTGTGAAGTACAGTGGCGCACTAAGCATGCATGCAGTTGGCACTGTGCCTAAAGTAAGCATTCCAAAAAAAACAGGCAAAAAATCTATCTATTAATAAAATCAAGATAAAAGGCAATGACTTACTGTCCATCCCTGTTGATCTCTCATTTCCAGATTCACATTCTTATCTAATAATAACTGTACCACAGCAATGCGACCGTTACTTATTGCTCGCATTAAAGGCGTCTGACCGTACTTATCGCCGATGTTCAATAGGCAGTCTTTTTCAATAAGGTATGACATTATATTATAAATAGTGATGTCATTAGCGCTGCTGTTTGAGCAGGCGGCCATCGCCGATGTCATGGAATCTGTAATTTTATTAAAATTAAAAATTATATTCGTCTTGGCAGAGGTGTAAGAGACATGAATATAATTACATTACAAGAAAACTCTATGGTTTGAATTTGTACCATGTACTAACGTCATCAGTACCATATTCCGACTTTTTATTTTATTTTATTTAATTCCTTATTATACTGATTCTTGAGATTCGCAATATTCTTTTCAATGTCACTATGACTGATCTCCATATGCCTAGCTATAGATTCCACAAAATCTTATTTTTTGAAGGTCTTTGTAATTAGTTCATTACTCACATTCCATAGACATTCATGGACGTGTATGAGTTCAACAAGGTCCAAGGTTTACTTTTCCACCGACTTCAAAAAGGAGCCGGTACTCAATTCGACTGTATGTTTTTTGTATGTATGTTACCTCATAACTTTGTACTGGGTGAACCGATTTCGATGATTTTTTTTATTTGAAAGCTGGTGCTTCACATGTGGACCCATATAAATTTGATCAAGGTCTGACCAATAGTTTTTGAGTTATTCTTAATAATTTATATTGAAGTTGGTTGTACAAAATTTTTAATTTTAAATGATTAGACCTCTCCATTATTGTTTAAAAGCATAAAATACGTAAGTGCTCAAAATTAACCTCAAATAATTTGACTACAACTTGAATGGGCACCGAATAAGTAACAATTATATATAAGATTCATCATTACAGCCCTTCACAAGTCCACTGCTGAACATAGGCCTCCCCCAAAGAATGCCACAAAGCACGGTCCTGAGCCACCTGCATCCATCGACTTCCTGCATATCTTACCAGGTCGTCACTCCATCTAGTGGGGGGACGCCCTACACTTCGCCTGCCGGTACGAGGCTGCCACTCGAGAACCTTTCTTCCCCATCGGTTGTCGGTTCTTCGAGCTATATGGCCGGCCCATTGCCACTTCAGCTTACTAATCCGTTGGGCTATGTCGGTCACTCTAGTTCTACTGCGGATATCCTCATTTCTGAGTTTATCACGCAGAGAAACTCCGAGCATAGCCCTCTCCATAGCTCGCTGAGCGACCTTGAGCTTCCTCATCCGGGCAGCAGTGAAGGACCACGTCTCAGTTCCGTATGTCATCACTGGCAACACGCACTGGGTGTACAGTCTCGTTTTCAAGTTTTGAGGTATACCTGACGAGAAGATGTGCCGTAATTTCCCGAACGCTGCCCAACCGAGTTGAATCCGTCGATTGACCTCTCGGTCGAAGTTGGACTTACCTAGTCGGACTATTTGTCCCAGGTAAACATACTCGTCAACAACTTCGAGCTTAGTGTTCCCAACAACTACCGGCATAGATGTGACATGGACATTAAACATGATCTTTGATTTGTCCATGTTCATCTTAAGACCTATCCGTTGGGAAACACTATTGAGGTCATTGAGCATAGTGCTTAGGTCCTCCAGCGATTCTGCCATAAGGACTATATCGTCGGCAAATCGAAGGTGAGTGATGTACTCGCCATTGATGTTGATACCGTATCCTTTCCAGTCCAGAAGCTTGAAAACATCTTCCAATGCAGCGGTAAAGAGTTTCGGGGATATGACGTCACCCTGTCTTACACCTCTCTGCAATTGGATAGGTTTCGTACTCTGGTTCTGTACTCGGATAGCCATCGTAGCCCTACTGTACAAGCACTTCAACACTTCGATATACCGACAGTCAACTTGGCATCGCTGAAGGGACTGCAGCACCGCCCAAATTTCGACGGAATCAAAGGCAGTCTGGCACATACGCCAGACATAGTGGCAAATTGTACTCCTCGGACTTCTGTACAATTTGCCGAAGGGTATGTATGTGGTCTATGGTGCTAAAGCCTTTTCGGAAACCGGCTTGTTCGGGAGGCTGGAAGTCGTCAAGTCTGCGCGCGAGACGATTCGTAATGACTCTCGAAAACAGCACGTAGACGCGGCTCAGAAGGGAAATCGGTCTGTAGTTCTTCAAGAGAGCGTTGTCGCCTTTCTTGAAGAACAAGACCACCGCACTTCTGCTCCACGCCTCCGGTGTAATGCCACCATGGAGGACGGAATTAAAGAGCTTCTGAAGGACTTCAAGTACCGGTTTTCCACCCGCTTTCAGAAGCTCCGCTGTAATTCCATCCTCGCCTGGGGCCTTGCCGTTTTTAAGGTGCTGGAGAGCCATTCTAATCTCGCTCAGACTGACGTCCGGGATATCATCGGAATAATGTCGGATAAGACTCGCTCTTGGATCGTTACTCACACTTGCGTGCAGCTCCAACGATGACGTGTACAGCTGCCCATAGAACCTCTCAATCTCACTCAAAATCTCAGGTGCCCCGGAAACGATGCTGCCACATTCTGTCTTCAGCTTTGACAGTTGGCGCTTTCTGGCAGACAGATCTCTGGCAAAGACTTTGGAGCCTTGGTTCCGCTCGATCGCTTCTTCAATACGAGCTGTATCGGAACTCGGGACTAATATATGAATGCCATCAACAATTAAATGAGGTATGTAAAAACAACAATTCAATGACTCTGCAATGGACAAAGGGACACAGTGGATCCAGAGGCAACGACGCAACAGACGAACTGGCCAGAAGAGAATCGGCTCTGGCCACTATAGGGCCGGAACCAATCATACCAATCCCCTTTGGTAATGTTCGTTCACTGGTACGTAGACACTTCACTAATCTACACACTCAGCTTTGGAAAAATCTAGTAGTCTGTAGACAAGCTAGGGAGACCCTGCCTGAAATAAACAGTTGTTTAACCAAAGTTCTAATGAGACTGAACAAGCCGCAGATCAGGATAGTAACAAGTGCTATCACAGGACACGGCAACATTAACAAGCATTTATTTACTATAGGTGTTACAGATAGTCCCCTGTGCAGGGCATGTAAGGGGGAAGAGGAAAAGACGGCCCATGTGATATTGGAATGTCCGGAGGTCGCTACGTACAGGGCTAAACATCTCGGCACGCCGAGATCACTCCCCGTAGTTGCATGCAACATCAAAGGACTGTTGAGCTTCTTCGGGGAGATCTCATGGCTCGAATAAGCATATTACGCACACACGCAAAATACGCGCATAGACGTGGAGTTGCGGAAATGAGCCCGTCGTAAACTAAACTAACTAAACTAAATGTGGACACAAAACGTAACTATACTTGCGTATATACTTATTGGCAAGCTGTGTGTGAAGAAAAGAGTAAACATAACATGTTTGAAACAAAGTTTCAAAGAAAACAAATTTTGTTGAAAACTTGTATCAAAACTTGTATCAAAACTTGTATGAAGGTGTAAACGAGAAGTAACAGTCGTTGTAACTTTAATGGCCAAATGTAAAATAATTCAAACCTGCATGCAAATTAGGGTCAGCGCCCCTGTCTAATAACATCTTTACAATTTTGTCTTGTGCATGGAAGCAAGCGTGCATCAATGGTGTCCAACCGCTGTCGAGCTTTGCGTTGACTCCATGATGTAAATCTGAAATAAAAAAATCTTACTCTTAAAAATTAATGAATTTGCTGACATTGTAAAAATAAGTTAGTTCGTTTTTCTTTTGTTATAAATATTACAATGAAATTGAATTTAATAAAGTAACATTGTTTGGAAGACATGTACAACCCGATCGAGTTCCGAAGACTCCGAACCTGGCGTCTATGACGTCATATCGACGCTCTGCTACGATGTATACGGCTATACGTTCTGATACTGACGTGACGGCATGATGATCTCAGAAATGGAAAAAGAAGGAGCCGAGCTGTGGTATTTGTACAGGCAGATACTTCACTTTTTATGTGACTGGTGATAAATTACAAAGCTAGTAGTAGTGTCGTAAGTGGCAACAGCAGGACGAGATTGTTTTTTATAAGATAGGGTGACAAACGAGCACACAATCCACCTGATGGTAAGTGGTTGCTGTGACCCATAGACATCTATCTATCCTCAATAAAGAATCAAAATGCAGATGCGTCGTCACCCGTGAGGACTAAGACGGAATGCCTCTTCTCCAGTAAAATGGGTCTCCGGTTCTCTTCACTCACCATACGAAACACAGCAGTGTTAAGCTGCTATTTCACGCTGGTATTCTGTGAGAGCGTGGTCCTTCCCCGGTCGAGCCGACCCATTTGTGCTACAACAATACTACTAATATAGCTGCAGCATGGCTCTACCACGTCTCAAAGAGATGCGGGACACTAGGGTGAAATAGTAAACTTTGCTAGCTTCGTACGCCCTTTTTAGCATAAAAATATTCATGTGAATGCAATGCAATGATTATTAAATATACCATCTGGTACCTGCCAGTGCCATTTTAGTTTTTATTATAAATGATACAATTTAATTAATTTCGACCATAATAAACCCAAAAATGAGACATTGTTAAATCTGTTTTGGTATTGTGATAAATGTAACAATGTAAATCACATGAAAATATTACGCGCAATCGATCTTTAATCTTTATAATATAATTTTTGGTGAGTCTGTCATAGATCATGTAACTTGATCAATTGAAATCATATTCACACAATATATTTATTTAGTCAAGACAATGCTTTATAGGTAAGATGGTAGAATGAAGATAAAATGAATTATAGTCACAATGTTACATACATTTAGTGTAGAAAAACACAAAATCTGGACCCGATAGGTGGCGCTGTGGTCAAATTAATTTGATATTTATAATTTCGGAGTGTAACTAATAAAAAAAAGGAAAGGAAGAACATTTGATGGGCTAGCTAGAAACTGATATCTGGTGTTGTTATTGCTAATTCGTTGAGTTAAAACTACTGAGTGCACAGTAGTCAGTAGCGTTGCCAGACATTTTTTCAGACAAAGCAGGACTTTTAAACCTTTCAAGTATCTTTCGATGAAAGCGGGACATTACAAAAAATCTAAAATACTATGTACTTTGTTATTATATTGATGGAAATAATAATGAAGCTTAGTGAAAAAGATAAACAATTTAAGTCACTATTAGGCGGACTAAATAACTCTTTCATTTAAGTCATTAAATGGATTCATTCATTAATTCGGAAGCGCATACTTTTTGAAAAAAAAAAGTTATTGAAAATCAATTATTTTTGCAATATTTATGTCAAGTTGTATTTATGAAAATGTAGTTTAAGGTTTATTTCTGTATAATTAGCTATAATTTATATTAATTTGATTAAAAATCAAAAAACCAGATATACATAAAAGTAGAAAAATATTAAAATTATTTTAAAATGTGCAAGAAATTGAAGAGCAAACCACTGAGGAATTGTTTTATGTACTAATATAATACTCTAGAAAAAGATAAACTTTTATTTAAAACTAACTTCTCAATTAAATGACATTAAGTAACAAAAAACTTTACCTCAGTATCAACTAGCAACATCTGGTGAACAGAAAATTATTAGCTCTCATTATCATCATTACACCCTATTAATAGTCTAACTTAAAATGTTAAATTAAAATTCAGATAATGAAAATGTACCTTGTGAGATAATTTCTTCTACATCTTCTAAGTTGCCATTTAAAATAGCATCTTGCAGTTTTATTTCAACTTTCTTCTTTTCATTGTGCTCAATAGGATAGTAGGGTCTTGGCTTAAACCAGAAATGTTTGAAATTACATACACATAATAATAGATTTTGTACTACTATAAATATACTTTCAAATGAGTTGTAATCTAAACCTATGTTAAATAACTTAAATGAAATTAATAATTAAAAATAAATTGAACTATTTTTGTCTTTGATGTCATCTAAAGTGTCAATTGTCAAACAAGTGACAGTCAAGCTCCCATCCAATTCACTGGCTCCCAAGCTAGCCAAGAGTAGAACCGTTAAAAATCTTTAAAAATACAAATGGCCAACACTCATTACTTCAAGTTACTTGACTTCACTCACTCATCAAATTACGGAAAACAAATAACAAGTGCATGTATTGTTTCCATTAAGTTAATAAGTTGCTCGTCTCAATTCCCAAAATTATTGAGTATGAATCCACTTTGAAACTTGCTTTTTGTGTTAGTGTTTATAAAAATAATCAATGTATGGAAAACAATGATGTATTTTTTTGATATATCAATATAACATCGATGCCACTGTATGATGCATTCAATCGAAAAATACATAGATATTTTTTTACAACATCCATCACTACTTAAGGGTGAAATTGAAACCTGTTGGCTGACCTATATAGGATTACCAGGGCCTGGAATTGCGGATCCGGTTGAAGGTGGTTAAAATTCCAGATTTTTGGAAAAAAGTCTAGTCTTCAGCCGGCATCCCCAAAAACTGAGCTTTAAAAAACAGCTTTCAAAAAGTTGATATTCCCACAATATGGAAAATAATTTTTCATGTGTTTGAAATTGTGTTTTTGCCGTAACTCCGGTCAGGAACTTCATTTAAATTTAATTATAAATAATAAAAATTAACCTAAATTCTATTAAATCAACCCAACCTGAATTAAAAACAAGTATATCTTACCGGTTTTTCAAAAAAGCCATAATCGTCACTGTCTGAGTCATCATCTGAAAATCCAGCAGGTCTGAATTGTGCCATAGCAATTATACTTTATAGAAAAGAAAGCAAAATCCCTATTCACAATGTAATTTTTAATACATAGCTTATTTTATTAGCTACTTTAATGATTCGACGGTCGATACTTGACATACTGATTTTTAATTACTGGGAGCAAAGGGATCTATACACATACAGCCAAGTTTGACGTCTTTTGTTATGGTTTATTTTATATAGAAGAGCTGCTCACCCAGGGGCGTAGCTACCGCCTTATCAATGATACGGGGCCCCCGGGCTACAGAGGCCTCGAACGTATGTGAGCAAACATTCTAAGCACTTCTATGAGACAGGATGTTGGCTTGAATTGTTTGGCTAGCTTAGTTCCTAGTAGTATTAATTGTAAGTAATAACTTATAATCAATATATAATTATTTTAATTCAGTGCGAGAGTTTTTGTTCCTTTTGTGAAAAATCTTTACCCTTCATTTGGGCCCCCTGACAAATTTTGATACAAGGCCCCTCTAATGCACGCTACTCCACTGTGCTCACCTGATGATAAGTCCAAGTAAAACGCATAGTGGTGGATTGTCAAGCATCCAGATGGTGTGGATGGTATAGGGAGTTAAGTCGCGATGTGCGTTGGTGAAATTTGGCAGCTGGAATTAATCCGAACAGCTCCTCAGAGCACTCCTCTTGGTAAATGCGATAGAAAATATAAAGGGATGCAACATCTCTTCGCAGCGCCAGTGACTCGAGCCGACCAGAAAGAACTCGGTTAAGTGAAAGGAGCGCAGCAAGCGCAGGTTCAGCCATGTGAGGCTGAACCTGCGCTTTGTAAAGTTGCAAGCGTTGTGTCTGTGTGAAATACTGTCTCGCTCTGCTGTGTACGCCAAGCTTTTTGGAAGCAAACTTAGCTTCCCTTCCTAGTGACCACGAAACTGCACTTCGTTCGATAATCGATATCTCAACGCCGAGGATTCCGATGCTGGCTGAGGCAGCAATAGGAGGAACCAGAAATTGAAGAGATACAACAAAGGCGTTATTTTTAGCGATAAACTCACCAATCTGTGTCTTTTGGGGGTTAAACTAGACTAACCTTAGTCAATCCCAATCCAAAACTTTGTTTAACAAAGACTCGACTTCAGACACAAGTTTGTTTCGGTACTCGACGAAGTATTCCCTGAAATATTGGCATGGCCGGTGTTATAAGCATCACGTGGTAGAGCCATGCTGCAGCTATATTAGAAGTATAGTTGTAGCACGAATAGGTCGGTTCGACCGGGGAAGTACCACACTCTCACAGAATACCAGCGTAAAATAGCAGCTTGACGCTGCTGTGTTTCGTATGGTGAGTGTAGAGAACCGGAGACCTTTTTTAGTGGAAATGACGCATTCCATGTTAGCCCTCACGGGTGACAACGCATCTTCATTTTGGTTTGTAATAGAGGATAAATGTAGATGTCTATGGGCCGCAGCAACCACTTACTATCAGGTGGACTGTGTGCGCGTTTGTCACTCTTAAAACAAATCACCGGTGCTGTCGTCCGCATAGCAATTAATGGCATTGGTTTGAAACATATCATTGATATATAGAAGAAACAGCGCAGGTTTTTTTTACGTGGTTTAGCCTTGCTGCAGCTATATTATCGTTGTAGCACGAGTGGGTCGGCTCGACCGGGTATGATCACGCTCTCATAGAATACCAGCGTGAAATAGCAGCTTTATGTTGCTGTGTTTCGTATGGTGAGTGTAGAGAACCGGAGACACTTTTTACTGGAAACAAGGCATTCTACTTAGTCCTCAGGGGTGGCAACGCATCTGCATTTTGACTCTTAATCGAAGATAGATGTAGATGTCTATGGGCCACAGCGACCACTTACCATCAGGTGGACTGTGTGCTCGTTTGTGACCCTTATCCTATAAAAAAAATCCCGGGTAGGAAAGATATGAAGTATTAACCGGAGATGACTCTTGTGTCTTGGTTATGACCAAGACACAAGTGTCAAAGAGTACGGCCGGCTTCGCTGTCTCCAGCTGGTAGTGGACGGCGTTTAGGTTCGAGTGAAGTCCCCAGATGTTGCAGAAATTTACAATAACTGGGGTCGCCTTTGTCCTGTTGCTCAGCTTGATTCGACCAGTGTTTGTGTTGAACGGAATTTTGAATGAGATTAACAAAGACTCCACTTCATCTAGAATTTGTCAATTTCTGTCTCAAAGTTCCAAACCCGATTATTTTGCGTTTTGTTAATGTCTTGTTTTATTTTATTCAAAAACATTATGCCTGTTGTGAAATTTCTACCATCATGGAGGCATTTTGTCGACATAAACTGCACGTAAAAATAGCTTCCAGTTCCATAACAATTACACCGGTCGATACGATTTTTGGGTCTGACGTATGAATGTCGAATTTTTGTCTCTTCTATGTTACTGATAAATGGAAAAATTATATTTTTGATCACTTTGCTTTTGTAGAAACCAGAACAATTCTTCAATTTTAAGAAAATTAACTGATTTTTTTCATAATTTTCAATCAGAATTTTTTTTAATAATATCGAAGTCTTTATAATTAAACAATAATGATAATTAATAGCTTAAATGTAAAATAATAAGTAATTAAGTTCATAAATGACTATTTTGTGTGATTTTCTTACGTTTCTATGAACTTTCTCGTATTAAACCCCAAATGTAAGATCCCGTTATATTCTCGTTGTACTGCTTTGGGTAAAGTCGTTCAAAGTTCATCACATCTTGGTAAAAAAAGCTCTCCTTGCTTCTCTGAGTAGGCACTATCTTTAAATTGTTCCAGGTGAACATGTAGCATATGAAGTTTTTCAGACATTCTGCAGCCCGTAATTTTAAAGCTTTCAGGCATAGTTTCAATCAACTCTTGGTAGGTAATTGTCAGCTTTGTAGTTTCCGAGAAAACCATTATTAACGACTGTTCCAGGCTTGTCATTAGTATAATTATTATTTGGGGTATTTATATAGTATTCTCATTTGGTTGGGCTGAGTACATTGAAGGAAATAATAAATAAACATAAATACCTATATATATATATATATATATATATATATATATATATATATATATATATATATTTAATATACTAACATAAATAAATAAAAACCAAACCAGACGGAAACTCTCGGCAGGGGAGACCAAGCGACCGAGAGTTAGGGGGAAAGGGAAAGAAACCAGTGGACGATGCGGGCGGTATCGGGGAGCACCGCCTTCTACATTTGAGCTTGGAGCGGTCCATTACGGAGTGACGCCTCGGATGACCTGAGAAGCTGACTGGAATTAACCCGTTCGCAGAGACGACTACAGGTAAAATTTCGGTCGGCAGTGCACCCCACATGTCGGTCACCTCGTGAGCCAGGTCCAGATATTTTGTTCGCTTATCTGTTTCGGCTTTCACGAGGTTCTCGTCATACGGAATGGTAATGTCGACCAAAAATATCATTGACTGTGTCTGGTCCATCAGCACAATATCAGGCTTATTCGCAAGAATAGTCCTGTCTGTCATGATGGCCCGGTCCCAGTAGAGTCTGGCGCGGTCATTTTCGAGCACGGCTTCCGGCAAGTACTTGTAATACGGCAATTTCCGGTCTGCGAGACCGTATTTCAGAGCGAGCTCCTGGTGTAGAATTCTGGCTACTAAGTTGTGCCTGTGCAAATACTCAGAGTTAGAAAGTGCCGAACAACCAGAGATGATATGCCTAAGTGACTCACCGGGATGGCGACAAGCTCGACAGATGTCGATGGTGCGATCCCTTAGGATGTATCTGTATATATGTTGTTGGTCTTAATAACCTGATCCTGTACGCACTGAGAAAACCCTCAGTTTCCCCAAAGAGGTCACCAAAACGTAGCCAGTGAAGGGAGGCAACTGTGTCTACGAAAGGCTCATGTAGAGCCTTGTAGAACCTCCCGTGGAGCTCCTTCTCCTTCCATACGGTCTCCCGGTCGGAAATGCTCTGTACTGCCGGGTCCTCCCATTGCTCGTTGCTAATGATAGAGCGGTAAATCCTTTATCACAAGAAATGACGTCCCTATAGAACGGGTCATCCGCTCTCGTCAGAAAGTAATTACGGAGGCTGCACACTTCGCGATTATGCATGGTAAGCGTGCTTAAAAAGCCACGCCCACCATGTTTCCGCGGCAAATACAGCCTCATAATCGACGATCTCGGGTGATGAATCCTATGGGACGTCATAGTAGTGCGGACTTTTCTGTTAAGAGCGTTAAGTTCAGTTTGTTTCCACCTAAGCATGCCAAAGGTATATATGAGAACAGGCATGACCCAACCATTACATGCGTGTGTCTTATTCACACCGGACAAAAGGCTGTTAAGCACTTTGGTCAAGCGTGCATAAAACACATCGCAAACTGACTGTTTCATACTCGCCTCATCTATACCGATGTTCTGTGACATACCCAGGTATCAGTATGTTTCAGCTTCGGAAAGAGTCCTTATGTATATGGGCATAGATAAATCTATGTCCTCCGCGTTAGCAACCCTTCTTGGAGGGCCGCACACTTACACCACACGCTTCGTCCCCAGCTCCATTCTAATAGAATTACTAAAATCACAAGTGATGTTTAGCAATTCCATAAGATGGGAGCGATTGGAAGCGAATAATTTGAGATCATCCATATAGAAAAGGTGGGTCACTTTTGTCACTCCTTTCCGAAGTTGAAATCCCCTCCCAGAGTCCTCCAGTAAGATACTGAGAGGGTTCAGGGAGAGGCAAAACCAGATTGGACTCAAACAATCGCCCTGGAAGATACCCCTTCTTATCCTTATGCGGCTTTCCGCATCCGTCATCCGCTCGCCTAGATGACAAAGGGTTGTTCTCCAATGCCCTATACACTGCCCGAGGAAGTCTCTAACTGTACAATCAACCTTGTACAGCTCGAGGACCCTCTTTAGTCATGTATGGGGCACCGAGTCGAATGCCTTTCTATAGTCTATCCAGGCGGCGGAGAAGTCCCGACGGTTGCGTTTAACCACTTTGCCAATGACCGCGTCAATGAGGAG